ATAGACATGAACCATTTCGGAAACAAACTAATCCTAACATCCTCCCTTAAACCAAACTAGCTTCCATAGTCATGAGCAAGTTGAGAAGCTAATCTTAACATCTTCCTTTAAACCAGACTTCCATAACCTTGTTGTTTTGACAACTGAGATTTCATCATCCAAGAGCACAGTATCAAACTCAGCAAACACTAGCAAACACAGTACTAATTCTCATTACTTCAATATGGAATCAGCATCAAGTTTAGCACTGAATCATCAGAACTAGCAGCAAAACTGAAACAATTCTTCATTACTTCAATAAAAAAAAATCAGCATCAAAACTGACAACTTCAACAACATCAAAACTGACAGCTGCAACAACATTAATCAGCATCAAATTGACAACTTCAACATCATTAAACTTAGCACTGAAACAATCTTTCAACTCCTTAATACTGAAACTCCAAAACAGCTCCAACACATCAATTTCAACACTTCAATACAAACTTCAACACTGAAACAATCTTTCAACTACTCAATACTGACAGCTTCAACAGCATTACACTTAGCACTGAGCCATCAGAACTAATCAGCAAACATTGAAACAATCTTTCAACTCCTCAATACTGAAACTCCAAAACAGCTCTAACACTTCAATACAAACTTCAACAACAGCAAACATCAACACTCATCACTTCTGAAGCACTCAAACAGTTTTAACAAAAGAAAAAAAAAACAACTTTCACTTTTCAGAACTGAAATTCCAGAACAGCTGCAACAAACATCAAACAAATTTTCAACCCTGCAAAACTCCAATATTAAAACACTAGTAACACAGCAACATCAGCAGCAGATTGATTAAACTGATGGAGGAGTTCTTATATTGAGCTTTTCTCGAAATGTTGCAAATTTGGAAGCTAGCAATGGTTTAGTAAGAACATCTGCTTTTTGAAATTCAGTAGAAACATACTAAACTTTTAGTTTGTTGTCAGTAACTTGATTTCTCACATAATGAGCATCAAACTCAATGTGTTTTGTCCTGCCATGAAAGACAGGATTAGAGGCTAATGAACCAGCACTTTGGTTGTCACACCAAATGATAGGAATACTAGAAAGTTACAGTCCAAGCTCAGTGAACAGACTGCAAAACCATACAATCTCAGTTGATCCTTGTACAAGGGCTCGATACTCTGCTTCAGTAGATGACAGAGCAACAACTCTCTGTTTTCTAGGATACCACTGAATTAATTTGGATCCAAGAAACACACAGTAGCCATTTGTTGATCTTCTGTCATGCAAGCTGCTGGCCTCGTCAGCATCAGTGAAACACTCCAGCTGAAACTGGTGGCTCTTAGTGAAGTGAACTCCATAATTTGAAGTTCTTTTAATATATCTTAGAAGCCTCTTACAGGCCTGCCAGTGTAGCTGTGTTGGTGCCTTTAAAAACTGGCTCAGTTTGTTGACCGAATAAGCAATGTCTGGTCTGGATAAAATAAAGTATTGCAAGGCTCCAATGGTACTGCAGTAAAGTGTAGGATTGTCAAATAGATCACTATCATCAGGAGTTAGTTTAGTGCCAACTGCCATTGGGGTAGAACATGGTTTGCAATCAACCATTTTGGTTTTGATGAGAATGTCCTTGCATACTTTTCTTGATTCATGTAAAGACCAATTGCATCTCGGGTACCCTCAAAGCCCAAAAAATATTTTAAAGATCCAAGAATCTTCAAAGCAAATTGAGTGTTAGGCTTCTGGACAGTGTCTTGAATCAGCTGAGGAGTATCTCCTGTCAAGAGTATATCATCCACATATACTAAGACATACATTACTTGGTCTTGATTCTAGAAAATAAACAAGCTTGGATCAGCCACTGAATTTACAAAGCCCCAATCCAGAAATGCTGCTTTAAGTTAGTCAAACCAGGCTCTTGGAGCCTGCTTCAACCCATAGAGTGCATTTTTTAGCCTGCATACATGATGAGGAGTGGCAGAATCCACAAACCCTTCTACCTGTACCATATACACATTTTCAGCTAATTCACCATTCAAGAATGCATTGTTAATATGAACCTGCTGGATGTCCTATTCATGGCTCACGGCTAGACTAAGAATAACTCTAACAGTGGTGATTTCACAACCGGACTGAAGGTTTCCAGATAGTCAATTCCAAGTGTTTGCTAGAAGCCTTTTGCAACCAATCTTGCTTTGAACCTTTGGATAGAACTATCAACATTATGTTTGACTTTAAATGCCCATTTATAACCCACTGGATGCATGTCTGGAGTTAGTGGAGCTAGTTCCCAAGTTTGATTAGCTAAAAGAGCTTCAAATTCTGATTGCATAACAACTGTCCAAGAGGGATGAAAGAGTGCTTCCAAAACAGTGTTTGGTTCCTTGGTATCAAGGTGAGAGGTGGAAATAAGGGCAGTATTGTGAGCTTTGGCTTTGGACCGAGTGATCATTTGATGAGTGTTTTGGGTTGAGATATTGGATAGAGGAAAGGATAAGTCAACAATCAATAGTATGGTGTCAAAAGATGCTTTAGAATCAATGATAATAGGAGAAGTAGCAGGTTGAATGGGACTGTCATGAACTAAAGATAAATCATGCCTGTTGAAGACCTGATCAGATGTAGTAGGACAAAGAGAAGAGATGGAGACTATTCAACCAGTGGAGTAGAAACAGTTTGGTCAGTCATTGATGCTGAAGAGTGAGGTGTTTAAGAGTGACTCATGGGATTATCAGGCAATATAAGAGACACAGAAGATGACAGATGCTGTGAGGAGGAAGGGAGCACAGAATTAGGAACATGCCAGGTAGACAGAGAAGCAGGACCAGATGATGATTGTATGAGGTCTGTACAAGAAGTTGAAACACTAGAAATTTTAGGGGTGATGAAAGGAAAGTCCATTTCATCAAATTTGACACTTTTACATATAAAGATTTAACCACTAGGAGCAAGACATTTGTATCCTTTGTGTTGTAAACTAAAACCAATAAAGGTGCATTTAGTGGTATGAAAATCAAATTTGTGATTGTTATAGGGCCTAAGGAATGGATAAGCAGCACAACCAAAGACCTTTATGTGAGAGTAGTTTGAGGAATGATGAAACAGTTTTTGAAATGGAGAGAGATTGGAGAGCACTGGAGAGGGAAGTCAGTTGGTTAAATAAACTGTTGTTTGAAAGGCATGCCACCAAAATTTGAAAGGCATGTGAGCTTGTGCTAACAAGGTTAGGCCTTGCTCAACAATTTGTCTATGTTTCATCTCTACTCTACCATTTTGTTGGTGGGTGTGTGGACATGGGTGCCTAAAAGAAATACCATGTTGAGCATAGTAAGGTGCAAGACTCCTAAATTGTAACAGCCAACATTGAGGTACATGATTTAAATTATGTTGTATAGCCCTTAGTTAAATTTTTTTAGAATTATTTTAAGAGAATTTGAAGAAAATGCCTTAAATTTGCATTAAGGGTAAAATAGTCTTTTCACTCAAAACTAGTTGATTTTGTGGGGAGTGAAAAGAGATAGAAAATCATAGAGAATTCAATAAAAGTGAAGGCATTTTGGTAATTGACTAAGGGACAAAGATGGAATTGCNTGTCCACTGTTTTTGATAACTTTTACAAATGATACCTTACTTTGTATAAAGAATGATTATATGTATTAAAAGAAAATTTCGAGCCCATTTACTTTTGCTAATATAAATGCATTTTACTTTATGTATTTCTATGAGTAACCTAGTATAAAGCAGTTATTACATAAATTCTACTCCCGAATCAGTTTGAACACATTTCAAGGTTGAACTAAATTGTCTTTCTACTAACTTATGGAATTGAGTGAAGCTAGAGTAAGTTTCAGACTTATTTTTCAAGGGAAATATCTAGGGGAACCGACTGTGATCATCCAAAAACTGGATGTAGTACCTGAATCCCTCAGGTGAAGAGACAAGGGGTAGTCCCCAGAGATTTGAATATATCAGATCAAGAGGTTTAGCTGACTGAGAAAAGCACCTAGGATTTATGGACTGTTTTAATTTTCCAAACTAGCATGCTTGGCAGAAGGTGTAATCAGTCTTGGATGAGTGAGGTACTTTAAGATCAGTTAGGATTTTAGTTAAAACAGAACTATTTAGGTGTCCTAATCTCCTATGCCACAACATAACATCAGTTCTTTGAGCAGGAAATGATTGAATACCATGCATTTTATTTATATCAGAAGCAACACAAAAAGAAGATACATTTTCAGAGTTATGTTCTATAACAGTATTGACATAATTAAGTGCTATAACAGAAAACTTATTACAATGCAGACATGGTTGGCCAACAGATAAGGCACAACCTGATAGACACTTAGAGTTATTTGTAGATACTAGTTGAGAATACGAATTTGAGAGGAAGAAAAGTTTGTTACTGTTGAATCTTTCAATTGATTAAAGAATACAGAGTTTACAAACTCATTTATATTTACAAACAATACACGTGTGTAGCAGTGAGTAGCACTTGCCATTTACAGTAATACAAGTGTAAGTAACAGAAATTACAAATTTGCCAGTTTATACACTAATCCTAACATCTCCCCTTAAACCAAACTTCCATAAGCATGAAGTATGAACTATTTAATACACTCATCTTAACACCTTCTCTTAAACTAGAATTCCATAATCTGCTCATTCCTAATCTCCACTACTGCACCATATGATCAACATCAAGCTAGTACTGAATCATCAGACTTTGCATTACAAGCTGATAACTTTTCNATTGATTAAACTGATGGAGGAGCTCTTATATTGAGCTTTTCTCGAAATGTTGCAAACTTGGAAGCTGGCAATGGTTTAGTAAGAACATCTGCTTTCTGAAATTCAGTAGGAACATACTAAACTTTCAGTTTGTTGTCAGTAACTTGATTTCTCACATAATGAGCATCAAACTCAATGTGTTTTGTCCTGCCATGAAAGACAGGATTAGAGGCTAATGAACCAGCACTTTGGTTGTCACACCAAATGATAGGAATACCAGAAAGTTATAGTCCAAGCTCAGTGAACAGACTGCAAAACCAAACAATCTCAATTGATCCTTGTACAAGGGCTTGATACTCTGCTTCAGTAGATGACAGAGCAACAACTCTCTGTTTTCTAGAATACCACTGAATTAAGTTGGATCCAAGAAACACACAGTAGCCGTTTGTTGATCTTCTGTCATGCAAGCTGCTGGCCCAGTCAGCATCAGTGAAACACTCCAGCTGAAACCGATGGCTCTTAGTGAAGTGAACTCCATAATTAGAAGTTCCTTTAATATATCTTAAAAGCCTCTTACAGGCCTGCCAGTGTAGCTGTGTTGGTGCCTTTAAAAACCGGCTCAGTTTGTTGACTGAATAAGCAATGTCTGGTCTGGATAGAATAAAGTATTGCAAGGCTCCAATGGTACTGCAATAAAGTGTAGGATTGTCAAATAGATCACTATCATCAGGAGTTAGTTTAGTGCCGACTGCCATTGGGTTAGAACATGGTTTGCAATCAACCATTTTGATTTTGATGAGAATGTCCTTTGCATAATTTTCTTGATTCATGTAAAGACCAATTGCATCTTAGGTAACCTCAAAGGCCAAAAAATATTTTAAAGATCCAAGAATCTTTAAAGCAAATTGAGTGTTAAGCTTCTGGACAGTGTCTTGAATCAGCTGAGGAGTATTTCCTGTCAAGAGTATATCATCCACATATACTAAGACATACATTACTTGGTCTTGATTCTGGAAAATAAACAACCTTGGATCAGCCACTGAATTTACAAAGCCCCAATCCAGAAATGCTGCTTTAAGTTTTTCAAATCAGGCTCTTGGAGCCTGCTTCAACCCATCGAGTGCATTTTTTAGCCTGCATACATGATAAGGAGTGGAAGAATCCAAAAACCCTTCTAGCTGTAGCATATACACATTTTTAGCTAATTCACCATTCAAGAATGCATTGTTAATATTAACCTGCTGGATGTCCCATTCATGGCTCACGGCTATACTAAAAAATAACTCTAACAGTGGTGATTTCACAACCGGATTGAAGGTTTCCAAAGAGTCAATTCCAAGTGTTTGCTAGAAGCCTTTTGCAACCAATCTTGCTTTGAACCTTTGGATAGAACCATCAGCATTATGTTTGACTTCAAACACCCATTTACAGCCACTGGATGCATGTCTGGAGTTAGTGGAACTAGTTCCCAAGTTTGATTAGCTAAAAGAGCTTCAAATTCTGATTGCATAACAACTGTCCAAGAGGGATGAGAGAGTGCTTCCAAAACAGTGTTTGGTTCCTTGGTATCAAGGTGAGAGGTGGAAATAAGGGCAGTATTGTGAGCTTTGGCTTTGGACCGAGTGATCATTTGATGAGTGTTTTGGGTTGAGATATTGGATAGAGGAAAGGATAAGTCAACAATCAATGGTATGGTGTCAAAAGATGCATTAGAATCAATGGTAATAGGAGAAGTAGCAGGTTGAATGGGACTGTCATGAACTAAAGATAAATCATGCCTGTTGAAGACCTGATCAAATGTAGTAGGACAAAGAGAAGAGGATGGAGACTATTCAACCAGTGGAGTAGAAACAAGTTGGTCAGTCATTGATGCTGAAGAGTGAGGTGTTTGAGAGTGACTCATGGGATTATCAGGCAATATAAGAGACACAGAAGATGACAGATGCTGTGAGGAGGAAGGGAGCACAGAATTAGGAACATGCCAGGTACATTGAGAAGCAGGACCATATGATGATTGTATGAGGTCTGTACAAGAAGTTGAAACGCTAGAAATTTTAGGGGTGATGAAAGGAAAGTCCATTTCATCAAATTTGACACTTTTACATATAAAGATTTAACCACTAGGAGCAAGACATTTGTATCCTTTATGTTGCAAATTGAAACCAATAAAGGTGCATTTAATGGTATGAAAATCAAATTTGTGATGGTTATAGGGCCTAAGGAATGGATAAGCAGCACAACCAAAGACCTTTATGTGAGAGTAGTTTGGGGAATGATGAAACAGTTTTTGAAATGGATTGAGATTGGAGAGCACTGGAGAGGGAAGTCAGTTGGTTAAATAAACTGTAGTTTGAAAGGCATGCCACCAGAATTTGAAAGGCATGTGAGCTTGTGCTAACAAGGTTAAGCCTTGCTCAACAATTTGTCTATGTTTCCTTTCTACTCTACCATTTTGTTGGTGGGTGTGTGGACATGGGTGCCTAAAAGAAATACCATGTTAAGCAAAGTAAGGTGCAAGACTCCTAAATTCTCCTCCTGAATCAGTTTGAACACATTTCAAGGTTGAACTAAATTGTCTTTCTACTAACTTATGGAACTGAGTGAAGATAGAGTAAGTTTCAGACTTATTTTTCAAGGGAAATATCTAGGTGAACCGACTGTGATCATCCAAAAACTGGATGTAGTACTTGAATCCCTCAGGTGAAGAGACAAGGGATGGTCCCCAGAGATCTGAATATATGAGATCAAGAGGTTTAGCTGACAGAGAAGAGCACCAAGGATATATGGATTGTTTTAATTTTCCAAATTGGCATGCTTGGCAGAAGGTGTAATCAGTCTTGGATGATTGAGGTACTTTAAGATCAGTTAGGATTTTAGTTAAAACAGAACTATTTAGGTGTCCTAATCTCCTATGCCACAACATGACATCAGTTCTTTGAGTAGGAAATGATTGAATACCATGCATTTTATTTATATCAGAAGCAACACAAAAAGAAGATACATTTTCAGAGTTATATTCTATAACAGTATTGACATAATTAAGTGTTATAACAGAAAACTTATTACAATGCAGACATGGTTGGCCAACAGATAGGGCACAACTTGATAGACACTTAGAGTTATTTGTAGATACTAAAGGCAAAATACAAGTGCTGAAAGAAGGCACCGAATTATTATCATGAAGTTGATGATTGACTGAAGTTGCCAAGTCTTCCGTAGAGTTTAAAGAAGCAGAGATTGAAGGCTGAAGTCGGTATAGACCATCCTTAAGCATTCCTTAAAGAAGAATTACTTTGGAAGACTTGTCCTTAACCACACAGTAACCAGAGTAAAATTCAACAAACACTTCATTGTCTTTAGTAAATTTAGATATGCTAAGTAGGTTTTTTGTAATTGTAGGGACATAAAGAACATTCCTAAGACGCNAATAAAATATTACATAATCTTTTATTGCAAATAGTGTTTATTGTTGGTAATATTGGGGGTAATCAGATTACCTTCCCAAGGGGTGCTAATATAAGATTACCGAGGTAATTTAATTTTACCCTATTTTGCCCTTAATCATTTATCATTTCGGACACATTTGCCCTCATATGTCTATCAAATAACAATTAACCCAAACCCCCAACATTTGAGAGTTTAGCAAAACACCCTAGCCACAAAAAGTTTAAAAGTTAATAAAATGCCCCTAGCCACCCAAGACCACGGCTAGCTGCCGACGAAAGTCATCATATCGGTGCAAGACCAGTAGGATCTTGCTGGTCGTGTACCGGTAAGGACGTTTTTGGCCATAGATTTGTGATCCATGACCGGAAATGACCAGATTCGGTTGTTTCATGGCCAAAGATGTGGTCGTAAAATGCCATAGATTTGACCTTGAAAAGGCCAGATCTTTGGCTGTGAAATGGCCGCCGTTTCATGGCCACATCCTTGGCAGTGAAACGACCATATTCATGACTAGATCTAGCCGATCCATGGCCAGATTAGGCCTTATCGACTCACGACCAGCCATATTCGGCCAGTTGTACACCATTATAACGGCTGGTAGTGGTGGTGGCTGGCTACCAGCAGTGGCTTGGGGTGAGTGGGGATGATTTTGCTATAAATTGAAGTTTTATATGATTGTGGTGTTTTAGCAAAATTTCAAATATAAGGGGTTAAAAAAAATAATGTAAAAAAATAATAGAATAAAATAATAATAAAAATTATATTATATTATTATTTAAAAAAGAAGACAATTTAGTAGTCTATATAACATGAACACTCATTTATCTTTCCAACTAATATATTATTATAACATACCTACCAATTTATTCCAACCAATTAAACACATTTCTCTAAAGATTCTCTCGTAATCTATCTTTCTAGTAATACAACATTCCTCGGTAATACAATATTCCCTGAACCAAACGCACCCTATATAATATCTTCAAATCATATTATATTCTGCCCAACATTCTTTGCACTTTTGGCTAAATTTTGTGATTACATTATTAATTAGAAAACCACATTAGTAGGTACTATATATCTATCTATCGACATAAGCTCAATTAATTAATTGGGAGCGTCCATCCCAATTTATCCTCAATAACACCAGTCTGAATCCCTCTAAGTGTTGCGTGAAGTTTATGTGTCACTGTTTCATTTCCAGTTTTGTACTCAACCCTGCATTAAAATTATTCCATTGTTAAAAGAGGACGAAGGAGCAAGGAAATTAAACAACATAAATATACATTTCTTTTACCTTGTATATATATAAGTCATACTGGCAACAGGAGTCACAACCATTGCGGTTCCCCTGCAAAATACTTCATCTGCATTTAACAAATCCTCCAATGGAACATTGCGTTCCTCCACCTAAACATTGTACTTATTAAAACATTTCCTCAATTCGCCCTTTTATTGCGATTAACAGAATTAATGGCAATTATATAGCTACCTGGTAACCCATATCAGAAGCAAGTTTGATGATGCTTTTTCGGGTGACACCAGGCAGAATAGTTCCATGTGTTGCTGGAGTTGAAATTACATTGTCCTGCAAAAGAAAGATTTGTTACATATGAAACAAATGGAGAACTTGGATATTAATGAAAGCGAACAAAGTGTGTAGACATGGCCTTAGTTCTTACTTGAGAATGACAAATGTTCATTGAAGAAAACCTCTCAATGTCTTTCCACGGTACTGCATCTAGAAAAGTACGTCAGAGAAACCTTTGCATTTGGCTTACGGCTACCGGTTTCTAAACCTGCAATAGCAATGCAATTTAAAAACAATTCGGATACGCAACTCACGGCATGTAATGGAGCTCAATTATGCTCACCGAGTGTTGTGTACTTTTAATGCTCCAGTCAGCCCAGGTCCAGCAAGGATGGAGGTTCTTTCGATCAATTAAGTTGCGTGATTCTTACCAGATATATATCAGCGAGCCATTATTGTTAAAAATTTTATATTGAGCATCAAACAAAGAAAACATTAATAATGATCAAGTGAATAGTGTACTGTAATGCAAAATTCCCAATCAATAATGTACTGCTAATCCACACGCACAAAACCCACAAATAAACAACACAAAAGAAACAAGATCAAACACAATACACCAAGAACCAAATTATCGTGATTCACTTTCACAAGGAAGAGTACATCCACGTTGAGCTCCAAGAAGATTTGGAGTCGTTGAACACTAGGAATAAACTGTTATTAACTTAAGAGTTAACAAAAACACATCTCAAAGATGCACCCGAACGTATAACTTTA